TCCAAGTCAAAGTTGGCGAAGATACCTGATACTCTTTCCTCCTCTTCTTTTCCCCTGTGAGGACAACAACCACCATGTGAGGTAGATTGGGTTGAGAGTGACTAGGTCTCAGAAGACTTTCATGCCTAAGGCAGGACTAGAACTCACCGTCTCCCGGTGATTGGCCCAAAGTCACCCAGTCAGCTTCCATGCCTAAGGCAGGTCTGGAACTCACAGTCTCCTGGTGATTGGTGCAAAGTTACCCAGATGGCTTTCATGCTTAAGATGGAACTAGAACTCACAGTCTCCTGGGGATTGGCCCAAAGTCACCCAGTCAGCCTTAATGGGATTTATTGAGTGCCCCATGAGTCTCTTAACTGAAAAATGCTTTGAATGTCCAGAAAAGTAAGTTCCAAGTCAAAGTTGCAGAAATTCACCCAGGACATCCCACGCCAACCTTTGAACAGCAGGCCAAAAAAAGAACAAAGAATACAACGCAGGCATAGGCTATATAAATATAGAGTCCTTTTAATTTATATTTGGTTAATAATTACAATACATTTTGACTACAGGAACAGAGCAGGTTCTTTTCAGTGCATACATTCTTCAGAAAGACAGGGACTGGTTTTGGCAGACGTTCTATAGAATTTGGAGAAGAGGGTTTTTGCCTAATTCATTTTTTCCCCTCAAAAGTCTTGAATTTTCAGGCTTCGGTTAATGATTCTGATTTTGGCAGTTCCCCAAATGCCCAACTGGCTTTCAGGGCATCTGGGATGGGGAGGCCCCAAAGATGAATTTAATGGCGATGACCACGAAATCGATGTCCCACATTTAACAACTGTAAGAGCCGATTATTAAATTTTCTGGAATTTTGCAAGCCAGTTGGGAGCACAGCTGAGCCACGATGCCTAGCGTGCCAGTTAGCTCTTCAGCAGTTACCGGCAGTCCTCAATTTACAACGATCCGTTTAGTGACTATTTGAAATGAGAGCGGCACTGCAAAATGTGTCTTACGATTGATCCTTGCTCTTACAACTGTCACAGCATCCTCCCAGTGCTGTGATCAGAACATGGATGCTTGGCAGCTGGCATGTATTTACGATGGTTACCACATCTGATCACCATTTGGGGCCTTCTTAGCTGGCAAGCAAAGTCAGTGGGGGTAAAAAAAAGGTGGTAAAATTGGGTACGATTGACTTCACATAGCAATGAAAATTCTGGCTCCAGTTGTGTTCGCAACTTGGGATTACCTATCCCAAAGGTGCTTTTTCACGAGGCAACTGGACTTTCTTGTTTTTCTTTGAAGACATTTTGCTTCTCATCCAAGAAGCTTCTGCAGCTCTGACTGGATGGTGGGGAGTGGAAGAGAATAAAATAAGGCAAATGACCAGCCTGTCTGCAAGGAGTATAAATCCTTCCGTTCCTCACCATCCAGTCAGAGCTGAAGAAGCTTCTTGGATGAAAAGCGAAAATTTTTCAGAAAAAAACAAGAGAGTCCGGTTGCCTCCTGAAAAAAACACCTTTGGGATAACTATGACCTGGATGGCTGAGAATCTCCATAGACACTTAAGGACTCTCTGCAGCAGCACAGCAGCAGCAATAGCTGCTTGTTAAACATTGACTAGCATACCACTGGCCCCACCTCTTTTTTATGTGCAACATGGGTCTGATAGTTGTAAAAAAAAAAAAAAGAGCAAGGTTTCAGTTACCCAGACACGGGTGCCATCGTTAATGCCCGCTCCCTGCAGGCACCGAATTGCCTTGAATAATAACGCAAGTTTAATTAATTATGCAAGGTAGTGTTTGTAGGACTGAGGAATGTTTTGAAACAAATACAGAGCTGCCTAATCAATTCTGAATATATTTAGGCAAGTTTTCAAAGGCCAGCAGCTGAATGCCTTCTGAAGTCATCAAGAAGACCCCCAAGGTCCCTTCCAGCTCTGTTCTGATTGATTGAAATCCCTGAGTTGTATTTAATAACATCAAAATAAACCTCTTTGGGCATCTGATTCCTCTTTTAGACCACAGCAATAATCTTTTGTCCTTCAGTCAGATTCCCAACCCAAGACTCATGTGACTCTTTCCACTGTTTTCAGAAAAGTGCAGTAACATTCAAACCCAATTTCGTCCACAAAAAATCAAAATGCCCAAAAACTTGAGAGGGTGAGGGTGCTAAATGTGTAACACCCAAATGGGCGACACTTGTGAACTGGTCCCTGGCCTGCACACAGAGGTGAGAGGTTCTGAAAAAGAGACCCTTGGGTCAGAATTTCCTGCTCTTTTAAAGTTAAAAAAGGGATACACATAGTTAAATAAATGCAATGCATATTTATACTGAATTGCTTCTATCTAATAAACGCTATGAACATAGGTTAAAACCCAGCCAAAATTGAGCAGTTTAGCCATCTTCTGTGGACTGGCAGAAATTTGCATCTGTTCCACTGGGAACCAAAGGACTTGATCAATGTAATCTCATATGGGTCTACTCAGAAGTAAGCCCCAAAGAACTCAAAGAAATTGGTTTCCTTTTAAATTTGCATAGGATTGCAGTCCAAAGGGCTTGATTTTGGCTGGGTTTTATTATATTTAGAGATATTTCAACGTTATTAGAAGAACACTGTAATTAAATTAAGGGGGGGGGAGGAAGAGGAGGAAGAAAAGTGAGGATAAAGAATATTAGTAAATAAAATGCAAGCAATACAGATCCAATTCTGCTGATTAAAAACAGAATAAAATTAGTCTTATCTACGCAATTGAAAAATCACATCCAGGCAGAGATGCCTGGTGGAGAGTCTGAATGGCCTTTAGTCTTTGGAAGAGGCAGAGGGGGGGGGGCGTCCTTTCCCCCCAAAAGTCCAGTTCAGAAAAAGCTTATTGAGTTATCTCGGAGCTTTAGATTCAGTGCTTAGAAGTCAGCAAATGCCATCTGCCAACACAAGGATTCTGCTACAGCCCATGGGCATATTTGGTACGGAGAATGAAGGGCAATGAGTAAAGGGGCATGTTGGGGAGGAAGGGAGGAAGGAAGGAAGGAAGGAAAGGAGGGACGGAGAGAGGAAAAAGGAAGGGAGGGAGGGAAGGAGGGAGGAAGGAAGGAAAAGAAGGGAAGGAATAGGATGGAAGGAGAAGGAAGAAGAAAGAAGAAAAACAGATGAAGCAAAAGGAAGGAAGGAAGGAAGGAAGGAAGGAAGGAAGGAAGGAAGGAAGAAGGGAGGGAAGGAGGGAGGGAGAAAGGAAGGAAGGAAGGAAGGAAGGATGTTGAAGTAAGATTCAATGGCTTCTACAGTTCATGTTTGTGATGGGTATTAGTGTCTCTGATCTTCACTGTGAGAAATCACACCAGGCTAGGCTGCCGATGCAAAAGGGCAGCCCAGTCTTCAACAACTCATCAGCCTCCATTTTGCACTGGGAGGGGTTAAGAAGCCCCTCTTAACCCTGGCTGAGAAAATGCAGCAGTGGCAAGATTTATGCATTTTCCTCAACCACAATGTCCTTTGGTTTCACCTACATCTGATTTGTGAATTTGGCTAATAGATCTTGAGTCACCCGTTTGTGGTTGGGATGCCAATGACTGCCTTCCCAAAAAATTTGGAAATGATAAAAAGTGGCTTTAGACCTTCTTAATCTTTTAGCTATGTATGTAAAAAAAAAAAGGCACTTAACACATTTGGGTGGTCCCAGTATTTTCCTGTCTTTTTGATCATATGACTACCGCTTTCTACAATCAAAGTTTTTAAGGCACACTCCAGCCATGCTTTCTTTGGTCCTAGTAACTTACTCAAAGACTTAGCATATACAAGCAAAACATTTCCACGCTTACTTACATTCCTGTGTTAAGAGTAAGGCACAGAATCAAGGGTCTTGGGGGTGCCGGTGTTGGAGAGGGATGAAAGAAAAGGTGTGACTACCTGATCAAAACCTGACCACCTTGACTTTTTTGAATATTCTTCTGTCTCCAACAGCTTGGCACAGGATCCAAATTAATTTGCATCCAGGTGAACTTGGAACATCCCAGAAGTTACAAGATGTAGGTTATACTCTACTGTCCTTTCCCCACTGATCCTATGACAAAATTATGGGTCAATTAAGTGCTTTTCAAAGCAAGCCTCTTTTTTTACTTTAACTTCATTGCTTCTTACAACACAGAGAGGGAAACAGGCAAACATTTCCATGCTTAACTGGTGCTCCCTGCACTTCAGAAGGGTTTCCTTTTGCAATGCACTAAGCAGAAAATATTCCTAGCAGCTTTAGGGTTTAGAGAACAAGCAAGTCTTACACCTCTTTTAAGAAGCTTCTAAATTCACAGTTTCATGGGGTCTGACTTTCCTGGCACACTAAAACACCTGAGCCTTTTTCTTTCCTGGGCTATACTGTCTATGTTTTTCATTATTGCATTTAGTTAATTGTTTATACTGTTGTACAATGAGGACAGTTATCCACACAAAGTCTTTCCCAGCCTCATTCTGCAAGTTGGTTGATGCTAAATATAAATCACAGTTTGAGGGTGTCTCTGTGCATGTCTCTCCATAGGTATGATTTGGCAGATTGCTTTAGGTTCTGCAATAAATCTGATTTTCAGGCTAAGGTTTGCTCTCTATCCATAAAATATGGAGGATAATTATCCTTGGACAACAGCCTTGGTGTTTAGAATGGAATTTGCCTAGCAACTTTTGAAAGTGACCAAAAAGTGGAAAATTGCTGTGCAGTTCAGAGCTTTAAGGCAGCAAACCCCACCCAATAAAAGATGGACTGAAACAAGCACGGCATTAAACAAATATATATAAATTTGTGGGGAAGGTTTAGGAAATAAAAGCCAGAGAACTTGGAAGACAGCTTTCGGAGAATTGCTCTTAAAAGAATCCCCACTCGCGCTGTGCAAGCAGCGGGGCCAAATGGGCATTTGACTTCAAGGGCCAATAAGCCACGGTCTGCCTTCTCCACTTAGGACAGGATTTCTGTTAAGCAGGAAGAAAACCAGGAAGCTGGCTTAAAATACTGCATGGTCAGAGATGCAAAACCTGGCAGTCACCCCAGGCTAGTTGGCTACACTGGAGGAGCTGAGTACTGGATCACAGAGTTATAATCAGGAGGTGGGCTGTGGCATTCCAGGCTGGCATCCATCGGCAGAAGAATGGAGTCTTCCATCAGGTCGTCCTCCACCGGAACGCTTGGACGGTACTTCACGGATTCTCGCTCGTGCTCGTTGAATACGGATTCCTTGCTTTTGTTGATCGCTTTCCTCCTGTGAGAAGACGCAGAAGAAAACACCTAAAGTTGGATTTGAACCCCACAGTACGTCACAAAGCAGTTTGCTGGTGTTGGGTGAATGGGTCATGTGAATCTAGTCACTGATGTTTAAAAATCATGGTTTATAGCAGGGGTGTCCGGAACAGGATCTCTCAATCTTGGCAACTTGAAAATGGATGGGCTTCAATCCCCAGAATTCCCCAGCCAGCCAAGGTTGGAGACCCCTGTTTTATAGCTTAGTGTTGTGTGAATCCAATTAACATTGAATCATTCAGTCAAGTGGAGCTTAGTGCAAAATGCAAACCTAGGGACAAGCCACTTGTAGCTATCTATAGCAGGGGGCTTCAAACTTGGCCCTTTTATGACGTGAGGACTTCAACTCCCAGAATTCCTCAGCCAGGCACGCCTGGCTGAGGAATTCTGGGAGTTGAAGTCCACACGTCATAAAAGGGCCAAGTTTGAAGACTCCTGGTCTATAGCCTTGGATGATCACACGTTTATATAGCTTTCTAAGGAGGCATGTGTGTTTGTGTGTGTGTGTGTGTGTATGTACTTACACCATCTTCAGTTACTACCTTGCATCTGCGCATGACAGCATCTATCAGTTCATGTTTAAAGAGAAACTTTTAAACAAAGGCATTGAATATTTACTCTCCAATCAAAGTGATGACAAGTTTGATCAAAAGCAAGTCCTGTGATTGACCACCTCTGGCAGACATGAAATGCAATTAGTTCCTAGAAAAATATTCCTTTCTCCAGAGATGCATCCTCTGAAATTAAAACCCTCCAGCATCTTTTTAACATTCTGTATTTGTTGACATTTCATTAGATTCTTGCCTTCCTTGACTCAACACTGAATCTCTCAATGTTCTTTCCATGGCACCAAAGCTTTTCTTTTGCAATTCTCAAATTCCTTTGATTCAGAATTTGCTTTTGGAGATGGGCCTTATATGCCTTATTTTCCCAATCATTCGAACACATCTGGGAGAGCCTAGATTACGGAAAGCTGCCAATTGTAATTGATTGCAATTAGTTTTTTTATTTTCTGATGTTTGTAAACAATAAAAGGGAGGGCTGAGGGGGTTAACCCAATTTTCACTTGCACTGTATATATTTGATTTTACCATGCTTTTACATTTCCGTAAGCAGTAGGCTAGTGGATGAATTACCCTGAATATTTTTTTAAAAAAATCAATTCCTTACTTATATGACACAAGAGGAAGATGAGGATGTATGTAGCACCCCTTGAATTGAGAATATTCTCTCCATTATATTTGATTGATTAGGTAATTTGCTACTATAACAAACAAATCTATGGCAGAATTTTTATGATTGGTTAATTCAGTCTCCTTACAGCTTAAAGCAAAATGCCATTTGCAAAACGAGTTCTCAGAGATTAGAGATGCTGATGTTGGGAAACACTCAGCCTGACAGGGAGGAGGGGTCAAGCACAGAGATAGTCTGGAGTCAGTCACAACTGTAAAAGGGCCAGAATTGGCCCTCCCTGCATTCATTGGAGTCTTATCTAATTCTTCCCAGATTGGGGAGATTCCTGTATTACAGAAAGAACAGAACAACAGAGTTGGGAGAGACCTTTGAGGTCTTCTAGTCGAACCCCCTGCTCAAGCAGGAGCCACTAAGCCATTTCAGACAAATGACTGTCCAATCTCTTCTTAAAAACCTCCAGTGTTGGAGCACCCACAACTTCTGAAGGCAAGCTATTCCATTGGTTGATTGCTCTCACCATTAGGAACTTTCTCCTTAGTTCTAGATTGCTTCTCTCCTTGATTACTTTCCATCCGTTGCTTCTTGTCCTGCCTTCAGGCGCTTTGGAGAATAGCTTGACTCCCTCTTCTTTGTGGCAGCCCCTCAAATACTGGAACACTGCTATCAAGTCACCCCTGGTCTTTCTTTTCTCTAGACTAGCCAAGCCCAATTCCTGCAACCGTTCTTCATATATTTTAGCCTCCAGCCCCCTAATCATCTTTGTGGCTCTTTTTTGCACTCTTTCCAGAGTCTCAACATCTTTTTAATAATGGGATGACCAAAACTGGATGCAGTGACAAAACTCTATTATGGTCACAAAAAGTGACCATAATAAAGAGTTAGCTTGAAATCTGCATGTGTGTGTGGGGGGTGGGGGTGGAGGGCTGGTTGTTTGCAACTGACAGCTGACTAGTTAAAGGATAGTGTAGCAGGTTAAGTTTTCACTTTTATCACTTCTTCTTTCCAATTTTCATAGTTGGCATTTCCATTCCACCAGCATCACATGCCACAACTGGTTTTTATCTCTCCAAGAATACGGGAAGATAAAAAGAGGGTGACTTTCTGGATACACCTGAGTAGTACTTAAAGGTTACAATTTCAGCCCTCAGCACCTGGAAGTAGACTTGGAGAATTTCCTCCCTGAATCCCAGTTCCTGCTACTTAACATGACCATAATACCAGGCCAAAGGGGCTGAGAATCACTTTTCGATGAAAACACCTTTCTGTGTTCTTGTATTTTTAGCCCTAATTATTTCTGAGCTTAGAACAATACCTTCTCTAGATGTCACAAAAGGTAAGTGGCATCTCTGTGTTCCACCGTGAAACTCAACACTGTCTAGACCAGGGGTCCTCAACCTTGGCCACTTTAAGACTTGTGGACTTCAACTCCCAGAATTCCTCAGCCAGCAGAGCTGGCTGAGGAATTCTGAGAGTTGAAGTCCACAAGTCTTAAAGTGGCCAAGGTTGAGGACCCCTGGTCTAGACTCTCAGTATGAATAGGTGGCGTTGAATTCTGAGAGCCTTTGTTCATTCAGTGGAAAACTTCATTTGTCGCACACAAAGATTCAGCCTTCCTCTCTTTGAGTTTAGCGACGGAGTGGAGGGAAGATCTAAGCAAAGTCCAAGTCCTTCTAAATTCAGTATGCTTGCTCAGAACTTGTCCGCTGACACTTTGCTCTCTCTCTCTCTTCCTAATCTCATGTCATTCTCTGCATGATCCCAGCATCAAGGCTTTCTGTCTTACCTTCCCTGAATGCTTGATGTGAGCAAACTACACTTGGGCATGCCAATTCACACCCCCAGCTCAAGGAAGAAAAGAAACACAATACAAAAGGAGAGGGAGAAGTCTCAGAAGTTCAAAAGCCACCCAGACTTGGAAGAGCCTACCAGAAGTTTTAGAGAAGATGAAGAGGATCTTTGTAACGAGTCCAGAATAAATATTTTCAACCAAGAGAGATGTGTCATTAACAACTTTGTTCTATCCATTTATGCCTCTTGAATTCTAGTTCAGTGGTCACCTCCAAACGTGGCAATTTTAAGACTTGTGGACTTCAACTCTCAGAATTCTGGGAGTTGAAATCCATAAGTCTTGAAGTTGCCCAAGATTGGAGACCTCTGTTCTAGCTGATGGGGAAACCGAGGGAGAATTCATTTCTGGATATTTCCTTACTTGGCACAGTCTACATACGTTGGGATGGCTCCCACAGTGGGAGAATGGATGGAAAAAGTGATAAAGTCAGCAGAGATGGCAAAACTAACTGCTTTAATTAAAGAAAAGAATTTATTCAGTTTTGCTTCCCCTTAGAGACCACTTTTGGACTTCATACTTGAAACAGAAACAAATGAACCTTTGATTTTATTTGGTTTTGATGATTAGATTGATTTGTTGCTATAGAAATGTCTCATATTAAACGTGTAACTCCAACACTTGAGATTGTAACCATGTTTTATTTTCTGCTGCACTGAAAAAAAATAGGAAGCCGCTGCTTCCCCCCCCCCCCATTCCCACTTATCTTGTACCCTTTCCCTTGTCTTATTCTTTTATTATCTTGGCTTCTATTTCTATTTTAAAGTGCAACAAACTTCAATAAAAACAAAATAACAGATACGCTGGGATTGTAAATTCAGTTGCTGAGATTGCTGGAGGTCCAAATCTCAACACACTGAATGCTTTAAAGAGGAGATTTATTAGATCATTCACCTTGGAGGCCCCCCCTCCTTAATCTCCTGAAGCATGTACATTCTAAATATTTGGAAAGTCGGAGATTAAGATACTGGAATATAAACAGGTAGACTCCCAAAGGTGCTTTTTCAAAAGGCAACTGGACTGTTCTGTCCCTGAGGAAGAAGAAGAGATTTCGCTTCTCGTCCAAGAAGCTTCATCGGTTCTGGCAGGATGCTGGGGGCGATGGAAGGGTTAGTTCTGACAGGATGGGGGAGGGTTGGAAGGATCATATTTCTTGGCAGTCATCTGGTCATTAGCAATCTCCTTGAGAGTTCTTGAGGCCACTTAGGGGTTGATCTCTGCTCTCAGAGTCACCTGGGTCAGACTGCAAATGGGGATGGAATCTTCTTGGAACCATTGAAAGGACTGCGTTGAAGGCAGGAGACAGGTGTTGACTAAACAGGTAGACCTTGCATAGTCATTGAAGATTATAGAACAGTGGTGGTGAACCTATGGCACGGGTGCCAGAGGCAGCACTTGGAGCCCTCTCTGTGGGCACACATGCCGTTGCCCCAGCCTCACCTCCCCCCATGACCCCCTCCTCACCAGCAGCCCCCCTGGAGGAGAGTCGCCCCTCAGAGTGGCCCACACGGAGCAGCACAGCCAAGGACATGGCAGCCAGGCAATGTAGACAAGACTCTGCCTTCACGCTCCATCACGCATAGTTGATGCTGTGGGGCGCGGGCAGAGGGTGTGGCCGCCATGGCACTGCTGGGCTGCCTGGGTGACCTGTGGCGGGCCGTGGAGGTGGTGAATGGCCCTGCGGGCAGGTGGGGTGGGGGCAGGGCAGGGGGTGGAGTGGGGGCGTGGCCAGATTTTGGGCACTCGGTCTCTAAAAGGTTCGCCATTACTGTTATAGAATGACGTTGGGCCAGTGGGAAGATGCTTAATTTAGGAAGAAAACTCAGTAAGATTTTTCTGCAGATCTATTAGATCTCAGCTGAAAGATTCAGACAACCAGCAGATGGTAGCAAAGAAGCAGAAAGAACTACATGGTCTCATGACTGGAGCAGAACACAGAACAAGGTTATTACCCGCTGATGATTTATTATGTACTATTGATAAATCTGAAAGTTCAGTGCCATAAGTAATTAATACACTACAACGGAGGTAAATTATCAGATTACTCGATAAGACTAATGCACTTCTCATAGGCTCTGGTGTGCCTGTGAAAGCTGAAAACCTGGCTTTTATTTGGAGGTTTGAATTCATTTAAATCTTGGAATGAATGTTTCTGTTTCTTTCAGAATAATTATCATTACCATTATTATCATGTTATTAGCGTGCCATTATTATCACATCAGTAATTATCATTATCAATAGCTGATTACAATTCCCAATGAGTGTATGGGATAGATTAAATATTGTACAACAGAAAATTACTTCAAGAGACCTGCAGACACTTGAAGTGATTCCTTTGTTAATATAAAGATTTTCAAGCACTTTAAGAAGTTCATGAGACACTTTTTATGGGATGAACCACCTCCTACATTTTGTTCAGTTATGGTTATCATAGAATGATCAGGATTTTATCTTTTCTGACTTCACCTTTGGGACCTCAATGTAATTTCAAATTAAGAAAAGTGTGGTCTTACCATGGCATTATAAAGTACTGCTTTATAAAGCCTTAGTAAGACCACACTTGGAATACTGCATCCAACTTTGCTCACCACAATATAAAAAAGATGTTGAGACTCTGGAAAGAGTGCAGAGAAGAGCAACAAAGATGATTAGGGGACTGGAGGCTAATAAAAATTAAGAACGGTTGCAGGAATTGGGTATGTCTAGTTTAATGAAGAGAAGGACTAGGGGCAACATGATAGCAGTGTTCCAATATTTGAGGGGTGCCACAAAGAAGAGGGAGTCAAGCTATTTTCCAAAGCACCAGAAGGCAAGGCAAGAAGCAATAAATAGAAACTAATCATGGAGAGAAGCAACCTAGAACTAAGGGGCAATTTCCCAACAGTGAGAACAATTAACCAATGGAACAACTTGCTTCCAGAAGTGTAGATGCTTCATCACTAGAGGCTTTCTAAAAAGATTGGACAGCCATTTGTCTGGAATGGCATAGGGTCTTCTTCTTCAGCAGAAGTTGGACTAGAAGACCTCCAAGGTTCCTTTCAATTCTGTTATTCTGTTACCCATTGCTTCTTGTCCTGCCCTCAGGTGCTTTGGAGAATAAGTCAACCTCCTCTTTTCTGTGGCAGCCCCTCAAGTACTGGAAGATGCTATCTTATCACTCCTAGTCCTTCTCTTTGTTAGACTACTAGACATACCCAGTTCCTTCAATCGGTTCATCATATGGTTGAGCCTTCAGATCCCTTATCAACCTCTGCATGATCCTCACCATTCATTAGGGTCACCTGTCTGCAGTTTGTTCCCTGGCAGCTGTATGCATGGGACCTTGTCTAGAATCGCTCCTGATCTTTGGAAGAGTTCCTACTGGGACAATAAGCTGAAGTCTTTGGGGGCCTAAAGGCTTAGGTGCATTTTGGTGCTCTTTTAGCTGATGTTTTAATTCAGAGATGTTGTCCTCTGAATGATGTTTGTCCTGCTGAGAAGGGTAGTTGTGTGATGTATAGAAGTCCATAGACTCCCCCACTTCTGTTAACAATGCAGTACTTAACAGCTTCAATTGCTTTAATTGTTTCATTGGTTTCTGACTGTTTTTAATTGGTACCGAATTTTTTGATTTAGCAGTTTTAATATATACACATCATTATGTAATGTAAAGTTTCTCAAACTTGGCAATTTTAAGATGCGTGACCTTCAACTCCCAGAATTCTGGCTGGGGAATTGTGGGAAGTTTGAGAAACACTGATACAACACTAGTACTGTAATTATATATTTTTGAATGACACATATTTAATGTAACTCAATATTTACATAGTAGAAATGGCGATGTATTATGACAATAGACCACATTTGCTTAGCAGCCGTGAGAGTAAATACTCCAGTTTTATCGTCTGTAGCAAAGAGGCCATCAAATATTTGACAGTGCTCAGATTGTTAATGAAACTACTGCTACAGGGTAAAGACAATCCCCACCAGTCAGTTGCAAAAGGCAGCTTTACTTAGAACACAAAACATAAAATAATAAGGTTAGAAGGGACTTTGGAGGTCCTCTAGTCCAACACCCTGTTTAAGCAGGAGACCCTCCTTACCATTCCAAAACAGGTAGTTCTCTACTTACAACAGTTTGTTTAGTGACTGTTCAAAGTTACAATGGCACAGAAAAAGTGACTTGTGACTGTTTTTCACACTTACGACCATTGTAGCATCCCCATGGTCATGTGGTCCAAATTCGGATGCTTGGCAACTGACTCATATTTATGACGGTTGCAGCGTCTCGGGGTCACGTGACCACGTTTTGCGAGCTTCTGACGAGCAAAGTCAACGGGGAAGCCAGATTCACTTAACAACCATGTTACTAACTTAACAATTGCAGTGATTCACTTAACAACTGTGGCAAGAAAGGTCATAAAACGGGGCAAAATTCACTCAACAAATCTCACTTAGCAGCATAAATTGTGGGCTCACTTGCTGTCGTAAGCTTAGGGTTACCTATAATTACCTCCTATGACAGTACCTTTAATCTGCCTATCCCAGATTCTTGGGAAGGACTTGACAGGTAGGCAAAAACCCCAACAATCTGGTCTAAACATCATTTTGCAAATCATAATCATCAGCAATGCTCAGATTTGGAAGGAAGAGAAAAAGGAATGACTCTGGTAATCTAAAGTGAATGATTTTTTTGCGCGTCATGATTGGTTTGTGCCCTTTCTGGGCAGATGACTAGACCACGTGATCTTTAGATACGGAAGCCAAGAAGAAGCCATGGAGTATCAATACTTAGAAATGATGTTATGTATGTTGACAGCAGCAAGAGTACTCTACGCTCAGAAATGGAAGACCACATCGATTCCTACAATGGAGGAATGGCTACAAAAACTGATGGAGCTAGCAGAGATGGCTAAACTGACTACTGGTTAAAGAAAAGAATACAAATGCTTTTATTGCCACGTGGAAACTGCTTCTAGATTTTGTGCTTGAGGTGGGAAAAAAAATGAAATTTTGATTGTGGGCTTTACCAATTAGATAGATTTGACATTAATGAAATGGCTAGTTGATAATATTTTGTAAAAGTAAAAAGTTGAGGTTTGAAGTCCATACTCTATTGCACAGAAGGAAGTTGGAAGTCAATGCCTTTTTTCCCTTTTTTTTCTCCCTTACCTCATTTCTCTACTCCTCTTTCCCTTCCCCGTTTTTTTCCGCTATTTGCTTTTGTATTTCCATTGTATTGCATATTATAAACGAATAAAACTTTCTAATAAAAAACAAATACTTAGAAATGATAGAGAATATTTGTAGCTCTGGTGATAGGTGTTGTTGATGGTTTGTTGCTGTATAGCTTCCATACATTTCATCACCAGGCTAAGTGATATCCTGAGCAGGACTTCAGTTGAAGTGCCTGGTGTCAGTTCGTCTCTGCTATTATTGATCTCATGTGCTCACGTGGTTGGTCGTCTCATGTGGTCATGTGGTTGGTGGGTCACTTGGTGACCTTCACATGACATCACCAGCCAGTCCCATGGCATGCCACACAGCATGACCAGCCGGTCACATGACACACCAACCACATGACCACATGACCTCAATAAAAGAGAAGAACAAGACACTTCAACCAAAGTCCCGCTGAGGATGTCACCTAGGCTGGTGATGAAATGTTTTGGAAACTAAACAGCAAGTCTGGAGAACAAACCACCATCAACGGTATCTGCCAAGGTAATGGTTTAGAAGCTAACCAGCTTGTATAATGTGTATGATGTAATGATGGGAATGACTCAGCAAGGTCTGTGTCCCTTTAAGAGCCAGCTGGGTCTGTATCTCCTTAAGAACCTTTGTATAACAGGAAGGCTCTGCCGCTGTGTTCCCTCTCTTCCGTTTCCTGCTGTAATTGTGGTTTGTTGGATCCTGCTGTATTAGCAAGTGTATATACAGTATATATGTTCCTGGTGTATGATAGCGTAGATAGTGTAAGATAAACCACCATTTGATACAAGCCACTGTTTACTGTGTTTACTCCTGGGTTATCTCAGCGCAATAAGACTGCGCACGCTCCGACAGTATCAATACTTACGCAAGAGCCATGATTCCATATGGCCAGGATCGGATCTCCAGCCTCTTCCGGCTCTTGACTTCATCCAGGGTCAACACCATCCCGCTATCTGACTCGCCGTCCTACAGGAGAGGAGGAAGAAGAGATTCAGGATGTGCTTCTGAAAGCTGCTCATTCAAAGCCAGAGGCTAGAGTGGCTCCCATGCGGGAATCATTTTAGCTCCAGAGGAAGACCACTTTCCCTTCCCAGGTTTTTCCCTGGCTTTTTTGCTGCCTTTTAATTGTATTTACAGTCACACAGCTTTAATTTTTTGGGAAACCTGCCTTGACACTGGCTAGATTATACCGTGAGTTTTTATTTTGCACATTATTATATTTTTATTCAATTTTTTATTTTATTTTTATTGCAAACCACTCTGAGAGCATTGGCTACTGGGCAGTTTAAATAATTTAAATGAAATAAATCAAATAAAGTGGGGCCTCAAATGGACGAGGGATTTTGCGTACCAACCTGAACCTTAGGTTCATTAAAAAAATGGACAAGATTGCCACCAAATATTGTGGTTTTTGCAGTGGGGGTAGTGACTGGTGTATTGTTATTATTTTTGTACATTCTACTAAGATCATGAGAAATCTAATCTGGTAGGAATCATACTCAATTTTCTGCTTTAAATTCAGAGATACTCTGGCCTAATCTCTGCCCTCCCCCCACCATCTGGGTTGCAGCTGGCTACTGTTTCATTTAATTCCACTTCTGCTTTCTGCTTAGCTTGTAAACTACCTCTTCAGTTTTATGAGGAGGGTGCTTTAAAAGGCAAAAATGGATAAAGTTTAGAAATCCATATAAAATGAAGGAATGCAATGGTGTGGTGGGAATGAATTGGGAAAAGGAAGGGAGGGAGGGAGGAAAGAAAGGAAGGAGGATGGGAAGATAAACAGATAAGACAGGGCAGTTATTACTTTCCTTCCTTTAATTTTTCCATACTTGAAGTTCTAGACATGCAAAAGTCCAAGGTAAGAATCTAGGGAGCAGGGGTGGGCTGCTTTCTTCTAAACTGGAGCCCTGATCTATCTAACTAAGCTTTGTTGACACTGATTGGCTGCAGCTTCCTCCAAATTTCAAGCAGGAGGTTTTCCAAGCTACCTGGAGATGTGAGGGATTGAACTAAGGGCCTGGACTACTGTAACGCTCTCTACATGGGGCTCCCCTTGAGGAGCACTCGGAGGCTCCAGTTAGTCCAGAATGCGGCCGCGCAGGCGGTGATGGGAGTGACTCGTCGCTCACATGTAACGCCGCTGCTGCGCGAGCTGCACTGGCTGCCTGTGGCCTTCCGAGTGCGCTTCAAGGTGTTGATTATCATCTTTAAAGCGCACCATGGCATCGGACCTGGTTATCTCCGAGACCGCCTTCTGCCACAGATCACCTCTCACCGACCGATACGCTCCCACAGAGAGGGTCTCCTCAGGGTGCCGTCAACCAGACAGTGCCGGTTGGCGACCCCCAGGGGGAGAGCCTTCTCTGTTGGAGCTCCCACCCTCTGGAACGAGCTGCCCCCAGAGATCCGGGTGATTTCGGATCTCCCCTCCTTCCGCCGCGCCCTCAAGACATGGCTGTTTCAGCAGGCAGGACTGGCCTAGGGATATTTTATTATTGGATTTTTAATCAACTTTTAAAAATAAGAAAGGCCTATTTAAATATATTTTTTAATTTGTTTTAATTTTGTATATTGTATCAATTGTTCTGTTTTTAATTGGCTGTAAGCCGCCCTGAG